GCTTTATCAAGTTAGGGATGGGGAAAGGGGATTTTGTGTTATCAAATACCTTAAAATACCGCAGAAAAACGCAAGGGTTAAGAAGAAAGACTGGGGCAAACGATGTAGGTACAAATGACTATACATGGAATTGCTGAACGCTTTAACGTCTTATATACTTGTTATTTACAAAAAATACATATGTAAAGTATGACGTGCTAGCGGCTGCACCTTGTCTTTTTATTACCTAGATGTTTGAACATAAAGATTTGTCTTAAGAGCTGTTTCGAATACTCAGGTGCGAATTTGGAAACTAATAAATAAACAATATGATTATCGTATTCATAGATGCAGATTTCGTATGATAAAATACATGCATGAACAAGCCATAAAACAAGCGATCGACCGCAGTTCCGCTTGTCTGGAATTTGGAATTGTCGCATTAATACTTATCTACGCATTTTATTGTGTTAAATAGGACTTTATAGAACTTTATTATTCACAAAAAGTCAATCGTATTGTTATCAAATAATGTCGAAATCAATGAAGACAGTCTTATCATTGAGAAGCAATATAAAAAAGAAGGAAGGTGACGAAATATATCAAATGTTAAACGATATACATACGACCATAAATGAGCTTTTAAACAACTTAAAAAAAAAGTAATGACCACCAGTTTTAATATCCCATCAACATCTTTACAGCGATTCAGTTTATCGCTGTACCTACATCATTTACAATATAGGACACTTACATTAACGAGAGTAATTTACAACCGAGAGTGAAAACTGTTTTAAATCGAGAATTTTCCCGATAACTTGCTGCTCTGATTAAGTATCGATGCAAATAAATCGAAACGTAGGCGTGTATATCGATTTATCGTTACCATGCGCTCGCGTCGCCCAATCGCGACGGTGAAAGGGAAACGAGCTATTTGCGTCACAGGTTTCTGTATTAATATAAATGTTACACTCAAAAAGCACTCTATACCAAAGCCTTAAAGTTCAGGTTGGATTGGGCAGCTTTAAGTTTATTATGCGCTCGAGTCGCCAACGGCCTTGCTTTATTCTTATGTTTGTGATTATGTATTAACGAGTAATTGTCAGTTATGAAGGTATGGTAACAAGCTGCAGTATCGGTGACAAAGAAAACGTTGGTTTTATCGATATTTTCCGCCTCTTATCATAGTAGAGACTAAATAGAGCTTACAAAAAAAGCTTATTCTAATACTCAATGATAGTTTTTTTTTAATCTTGTGGTTTCTCTATTACCTAAAACCCAAAACGAAACAGAGCTCGAAAACTACCTGATAATTAATAAAGAACTGAAAGACTACAAAGTACATGAATTTGGGTGTAAAATGTCTCTGCTCATCATCAATATTAGATTAAACTCTGGAAGATTTAAACCTACTCGTATAACTTCAGTCCAATAAGTGAATCCAAACCACACGTCAATACAAATTGTATCTCTCGATAATGTACTCATTAAAACATCTTTAAATTAGGCGAATGATATCTTATCATGTTCATTTTGTTCTCAATTAAGACTGTATTAGAGGAAAAATAAAAATAAAATCCTAATCTATTAAAACTAGAACGGAGTTAACGAAAGAATTTACATAGGAATTGGTTATTTTGGATAATTATTTGGAGTCTTGATTTTCAAGTTTTATACCTAAACAAGCATAAAGTTATTACTTATCTTATGATCAGAAAACAACAAAATTTTAGATCCAATTATTACTTTCTTTATTGCCTTCGTATAAATGAATCAAATATTAATTTCTATTATTTTTATTCCTACCTAATTTAGATAGAAAGACAGACAGCGCTACTGCTTAACATGGATAAGATTTAGGCCGGGTTGTACCTTCTTACTTTAACTTTGACAAACGTCAAAAATCTGTCAAACTCCATACAAAAAACGCCGGTTATCGTTAAAGTTACCGTTAAAGTTAGGTGGTGCAACTCAGCCTTACTCATATTAAAGTATGTAGTTAGGTAGTTAAACTACTTAATGAAGCTGCATTGACCTACCTGTTACTACAAAAGAAGTTAGAAGTTAAGATAAGTAAGTAATACTTGTACAGACGACAACAAGTCAAGCAATAAATTTAATTCCTTATTTACTTCTGATAGAAACGATTCTACAAAATAAATGTTTAGTTTAGTAAATCTCGCTGTAAGACAAAATGCATTTATCTATCCTAGAAAACTGGATCACGAAGTTTTAATAAGCAAAAACGTGATCTGATACTTGAATGACAACTTTATTATAAATACAAGTTTGTTGTTACTATGCGTTAGCCGATGTTGTTTATTTATACTGAACATAGTGATAATACAAAAAAAAAACAAGAAATACGAAGTCCATTTCTTGGCTCCACACTTTTCACATGATATAGAAAAAAATATGAGGTGTGACATATTCATCACATAAATATATGACCAATTTTCTATTTATGAATTAAGATTGTCTGTTACCTATTTTTGCATAAAACAAAACAAAACGAAGCAAATCCCGTTCAAAGTGTGACGTTCATAAAAGATAAACATCAAATCGCATACATAAAGACATCTTTACCGCAGTCCCAAAGAAAAACACACAGATAAAATACCTAAATAAAGTGTTTAGATTACCATAGAAACAGTGTACAGTCATAAATAAAAAATATGTTTAATTTTTTTTATAAAATATTCTGTCTTAATTCAATTTGTTTTTATATTATAACCATCATACTCTGAAACAATTATTAAGTAGTTACGAATTATGATACGTTGTTTTATAAAATGTAATTAAGTTACCAAGTAAACTATTTCTATGGCAAATAAATAAATAAATCACTTACCTCTGGATGTATTTCTCCATCTGAAAAGAAAAAGAAGGGGATTAAAATAATTACATAAATATTTTTTTAGCATCTCTAAGGGTGGATTTGACCAAACAAGAGTACCTAACTAAATATTAATCTTAGAATAAATAGTCAGTTTTGACATATTTCCCATACTGAAACTGTCAATGTGCCAGTTATACCACGAGTTATTCTCGGATAAAAGTTCACTCGAATCGGGGCTAATAAGAACAACAATTAAATAGCACTTGAATAAAAATTCAATAGCATAGACATTTTCGCAGCCGACTGTAACGAAATGGCGGCCATTTTGCGTCGGCTGGCGGGAAATCCAGGGACCTTGACAACCGGTTGCGCGCGCGCCGAGCTTCAGCGCAAAGCCTCGGAACAGCTTATTATTGTTAGTGGAAAACGCGTCTGTGCACTTTTGTTATGCGTTTTGCTGCCTTACATATTTAAATACACTTACAAAACTAGCAAATAAAATTATAAAATATGGAAGCTCTTTTACGAAAAGTTTCGAGTTATTTTTATCAAAAGAATCGAATTTAAAATCGACAAAATTTAATGCATCAGATGAGATATAATTATGTCTAATATTGATAAGACATAAATAAAACCAAAACAGCATTATTAAAACAAAAACAAAAAAAATAAAAAAGCTATTAACTGTAGTACTTTACAAATGCTTGTAGTGTAGTAAAAGATTAGCCTGATAATATTAGAAAACGATTATAACGAGTAGTCAGTTTCGTTCGTAATTATTAGAAAACCATTTTCGTTCAAGATGCAGAGCGCCATCTTTTGCGCTGTTTAATCAATATTACAAGATATAACAATCACCGCCATCTAGCGGCAACTTCAGCATACTAGCCAATGACGTTCAATACAGCCTTATTTGACCACCCACAATTATTACCTTACGTTTCTGAGAAAATCGCACCTAGTTTACTTAAGTTATTGGTAAGGAGGCTCGAAGAAATGATATTGTAATGTAAGTAGAGAAACATAGTTATTTTCCTGCGAGGATTCCGTCAACTGGGACCGCAATTAACTGGGACCGCGGTCCCAGTCGCCGGATGCGTAAAAATTAAATAATTTTCTTCCGGCGACTGGGACCACTCATGGATTTTAGTACTGTACCGATTTTGATTTGAATAATATTTTCTTTTAAGTTATCTATGAGTGGTCCCAGTCGCCGGAAGAAAATTATTACTTTTTTATGGATGGCGACTGGGACCGCAATTAACTAGGACCGCGGTCCCAGTCGCCGGAAGCCTCATTTTCCTGCTACTCAATAAAAGGTCTTTGTGTTTTTGTGCTACGTCTAAAAATAAATAATAGTTTTCGCATGAATTCGTTATAAGTACGAGTACAATTTAAAGGTTTAAATTATGCGTGTAACAAAATTCGATTTAACCACGAACGAATTGATCAGATAAGGAAAATCCTTTCAATAAAATGTTTCACGTTTAAAAAGACAAGAAAGGAGCAAGTTGAAACTTTTTTCTTATGAATGCGAATGAAAAAGTTCCATTAAAATTGCGGACTTTCCCCAGCATATATTATAATATGGATGTAGTATTTTTTTCCTTACAGACCACTCTATAATATGTTAGGTTTTTACAGTCATTTCGTCAGTTTCTACCCTACTTGCTACACGAGCTCACTTCTTTTCAAGGTGAGGATTCACATCGTTTAAATGGTACCACTTCTTCTCAGTACCAGCTGATGATGTTGTCTCAAAGTGGTAGTAGAGGAAGCTTTATTGGGACGTATACGAGTAAAAGTAGCGTGGGCAGGCCTCCCACTAGGTGGACCGATGATCTGGTGAAGGTCGCGTGAGGTGCCTGGATGCGAGCGGCACAGGACCGGTCTTTGCGGAAATCCTTGGGGGAGGCCTTTGTCCAGCAGTGGACGTCTTTCGGCTGAAACGAACGAACGATACGAGTAAAAAGTGCCCTGAAAAGGGCCAACTGTTACTGTATAGTGAAAAATATTTGTAACTTTATAAAATCTGTATTTTTTTACTATTTTTTTATTTATATTACATGGAATTTATAAGCGTTGACCTTAAATGGTCTTGATTATGCCAAGCCCAGCGCGTATCGGCCGAACTTTGGTCGTTGATAACTCCAGATAAGTACTTATCATACTAGTGCGATAGTATTGAACTGCGCTCATAAAAAGTGCCATTAACGATTGGACGCTCAGACAGTGCGCAGTAAAAGTCGGATGAATTAAAAAGTGCTTAAGGTTTTCTTCGCGAGTGTTTCGGATTAAAAATGCAGGTGTATTGGTGTGACAGGAATGGGATTGGTGGTTATTGTGGCAGAGAATGCTGTCAGGTACGTTTTTACTACTTAAACACTAATAATAATTTATGAGGAAATACAAACAAGCGGATAATCTAATACAATGTTTGGTTAGTTCTTTTTTCTAACCGTGCTGACTTTTAAACATTGGAATGATGTCATTACGACTCTAATTAGTAATCGCGAAAAGACTTACGGTTATATATTGCTGATTTAAATCTACTTATAAGATTTAAGAGCAGATTGGCTACGTTAATCTGTAGTTTTTATTTTTAGTTATAGTAAAAATATGTATGATCTCATCTTTACAACTCTATCATGTCTTATCTTTAAATTATCAAAGATTATTTTACAATATTAATACGCTAAAGTCCATATTACATTTTGAAGAAAAGGCAAGCATTTTAATTCATTCTTTTGTTTGAATTACATTTCTTATTGTATCTTATGCGGGTTCTTTTGTGTAGTAGAAAGCCTACTAGTAATAGTAGTTAAATGCTAGAGTTGAAATCATATTTCAGCACCAAATCCACGGGTTAATATTCCTTTATTTAATAATCTAAAACTGTCAATCCGTTGTTTCAAAGATAGGATGGAGGACGGGTAATCGTACCAAATAAAGCACCTTATGTAGATGATATAGGAGTGTTTTTGTAACAATAGTTGTTAGTCTGATATACTGTCGACTGTACCTTGTTTTATGACTAGGAATGTGAGGTTATCGCGTCTATTTACATCACTTTTATCAAACGATATACATGTGTAGAGTAGAGGCCTGAGTAATCTACATTAATGTTATAAACAAGTTTAATAATAATTCATTTTATTCATAAAGTTTTTATGTCAGATTTATTATTCAATGAGAATAAAGTTTACATTTGCTATTGGAACTAGAACATTAAATACAAACATTATACAAATTAAAGTAATCGGCCTAAAGTCAAATGTCAAATGATAAAATCGAAACTTCTGAACCACCAAAGATATTTGCAACTCATTTTAGATAAGGAAAAATTGTGCTATTATTACCTAACAATCAAAAAAGCCTAAAATATATGTAACTTGCCACTTTTGGTTGCGTTACGTAGGTAATAATTTCATAATAATTGACCTTAATTTTAATACCAAACCAGGTTAAACTTACGCTTTACTAAGTAGCAGAACTAGGTTTGAAAGTCCTTGAAAAACTTGTGATATATAAAAAAAATACAATTTTATAAGAAACATTGTTTTTACATATTATAAAGGCCTAAATAAAATTTAAGGGAGCTTTTGGCTGGAACTCATTAGGTATACATATATCACAACAAAATGAAAATCACAAAATATTTAAGTTGAGTTGCACCATCTTACTTTAACTTTGACAAACGTCAAAAATCTGTCATCACTACACAAAAACATCGGTTATCGTTATACTCGTAATTCCGTTAAAGTTAGGTGATGCAACTCAGCTTTAAAGAATTAAACAAAATAATATAATTTTAGTTTTTCAACCACTGTTGGCTAGCAATTGGAAGACGACTCTACTAATCTAATAGCCAAACATAGTCATCATACCTACATACGTACACAGACGTTTTGGAAAATCCACAACAATAGAGTTATATCCTTAATCCTTCAAATGACACTTCGAATCACAAGACCTTGGGGATGTCACGACAGGACAGAAGGGCCTGTGGCCTAGATATCCTGCACCTTGATGGCTATAAATTGTGGTATTAACCTGGGTACTTAGCAATAAATTGCGGTACTTAGTCCATGTTTACTATTCTGTAGAGCTGCTTCATACTCAAGCATGATGATATTTTTGATTTGTTTTTGGCATAGGATTTCGTGTTAAATCACAGAATAATAATAAGGCTACATGTTCAATAATGTAAATACTAGCTTTCCGCCTGCAGCTTCGCCCGCGTGGAATTTTGTCTGTCACAGAAAAACTTTATCGCACGCGTCCCTGTTTCAAAAACCGGGATAAAAACTATCCTATGTCCTTTCCCGGGACTCAAACTATCTCTATGCCAAATTTCATCAAAATCGGTTTAGTGGTTTAGGCGTGAAAACGAGACAGACAGACAGAGTTACTTTCGAATTTATAATATTAGTATAGATAGAAGCAAAAGTAACATAGGTGTTTTTGCAGTATTTCATGTCAAATAAAACATTTATTGAATAAGATGAAGAGTATTCTGGTACAGATTTCATAATTCATAAAGTATTTTTTGTAATTTTTGAAGTTACGCATTTTTACAAATAAGGAAAGTTTTTCAGCACACTTTCTGATATTGTGCACTAGCATCTAGATGCATCTCTCTCACTCATGCTAACACACAAGAGAGTAAAGAAGATGCCAGATCGCTCGGTTAATCAGAGCGTGTTAAAACAGTTTAATGACATATTGCATTGAGCAATACCTAACTGGGGCTCTAATAGTAGATTCCATCTACATCTTGTACTGATGATCATCATTAGTGAATACCAGGGATGTTATGGATATCCGTAACCGTAACCAAAAGTTTCGGATATCCGAAATAAAAATATATCCGAAACCGTAACCGTAACCGATCCAAAAGTTTCGGATGTTTTTTTTTGTATAGCATTATATGTAAAGTCATAGCAGCCTGATTTACCTTTATAATTCCATCTAATATCAAATATTCTTTTTTAATACTTTTTATTAAATATATATAAAGTGTGCGGCCATGAATGAACGGTGTTGGACAACTATTGCAAATTGCATTCTAAAGCACAGATATGCGTACTGTACCCGAAATTTTCGGATATCCGAAATAAAAAAATATCCGTAACCGTATCCAAACTACATATCCATAACATCCCTAGTGAATACGTGATACTTGTGTAACTTAAGCCACCGTGACGATTGCACGGATGATTAGATTCATTACTCTATTAACAATAATTTTGAATTTATCAAATGCTCGATAAGTAAAACATATATGGATTGATAAATTTTATTGTACGGATGACGGCATACTAAGGTAATACGATATCTTATCTAGTTGTAATACTAGCTAGTTATGAACCAAAATGCGTATTTTGATGTGATGTCGACTCTACTATTCAAATAACAATATTATTGACTACAAGCACAAAAATAACTCTGTTTATCTTTTTGTTTTACGCTTAAGCTTCTTCTGTATAAGATTATAAATCATTGGAAAAAGGACAATTCAAACTTTGGAAAATAAATCCTATATGCATGAAAGTTGGTTAAGTGTAACAACCCGTATTCACAAACGATGCTTGCTTAAGTGAAGCAGCAAATCGAACGTACAGCGTTGAATAGGGCTCTGTGAATGGTTCGTGTGTGACCCTGTGCGTCCACGCGCACTGTGAGACCTCATAGTTTGGTCACACGCTATAATTTCTGTGACACATAGTTAGTTATCCGTAGAAACGAAACAATATTAATAGTAAATAAAGAAAACAGTCTTTATTCATTCATAACTAACTCAAGAACTTCGCCCTTATCATTGGAGCAATCTTCACTAATCCCTGATCTTTGTCAACACTTTCAACTCGTCTCAAATTCTCAAAGAAAAACTAATTTAAAGACCGATCTTTTATTTTTAGAACAAGATTAAGCTAGCTACCAGGGCCGTGGTAAACTCTGATGACACTTTAACATTACGATGACATATCGCAAAAAGTAGTTGTCATTAAGAACGTGGGCGCAAGCGCATGAATGGATTCGCTAATGACATAAGGCGTTAGTCAGTTGGCATTCCCCCTTACATAACTCGAGTTATAAATAGAATACTTAATATAAATACTTGTCACGTAGCAGGTATAGGTTTATTGTTATGTTATGGATAGCCTAGCTTTCCGCCCGCGGTTTCGCCCGCGTAGAATTTTGACTGTCACAGAAAACCTTTATCGCGCGCGTCCCTGTTATAAAACCGGGATAAAAACTATCCTATGTCCATTCCCGGAATACAAACTATCTCTATGCCAAATTTAATCAAAATCGGTTAAGTGGTTTAGGCGTGAAAGCAAGACAGACAGACAGACAGAGTTACTTTCGCATTTATAATATTAGTTATTTATTGAGATATTCCATTGTCTGTGTTAACTGATGAATGAGACTTAAATATCTATAATTTTAAAATATTTGAGTATTTATTTAGATCTTTATTACGATGGATTTAGATTCATAATAATACAATTTAGTTCAAGTTTTCTTTTCATCTGCCTTGTTAAATATATTTTATCTTGGCATTTCACACTCGTTGATGTCTTTCCTATGAAACAACTGAAAAGCGACATTTCAGTGTGACAACAGTGACAAATATGTAACTTTAAAGAAGTATTACATCTTTATTTACATTAAACAGATATTTTTACAACTAAAGCAAACTCTAAACAAACATAAAAAAAACTTATTTCCTATTACTCAAAAATAAAAGTACTAAATAATTTAGAATTTTAAACTATTATAGAATTAAAAATAATACAAGGCTTACATTAAATTAGCGTCTGAAATATAAATTATATTTGGCGATTTTTTTCTCGATATCGTGCTAACAATGGATCTGACCGATAAATAAATTTATACCAGACATAAATCTTAACCTAAGACCTAAACACTAAAATGGATTCGTACATTCAAACACATGTTTTAAATAGCTCATTGTAAACATGTACTCGTCTTTCCCACGACGAGCGTCATATTAAACACATGTCACACACACTTAGTCTTGTGAAGACTACGCTATATTATACAGGGTGTCCCAAAAAGTAGTGTCAAGCTGAAGCACAGTGGTGACGGCAGAGTAGAATACATTTGTCACCAACCCATACTCTTCCCGCGGGTGTCGTAAGAGGCGACTTAGGGACTACACATCAAACAGAGAATGGGCAGCAGCGCTCTCTGAAAAACATCAATCTTTTAAACTGCGATCTCCAACCCGCCTGCCAAGCGTGGAGATTATGGCAAATCCCTCCACTATAGTGGAGGAGGCTCATAGTCCAGCAGTGGACTGTAAAGGGCTGTTGATGATGATGATGATTGATTC